GGCTGGAATCTAAAGCTGGCCTTCATGCAGGCTGTGCAAGCCAATGGTGCCTTGCTCAGGCTTCTCCCCAGTGGCCTTTGTGCTGTCTGTCCCTTGATCCTCACCAAGGGGTGCCTTTATGCAGGCTGTGCTGGCGAGTCCTTCAGCAGCTGATCTTTGTATGAGACCAGCTGCTTTTTCTCCAGGCTTGCCTCTTCGCAGGCTTTAGCCATAAGTGCAGACATGACTCTGTCTTGGTCAGGACCCCTAGGCAATTGCACATTCACCAGGCAAGTTGGCTTGCTGCCTTCTTCAGGCTTGGACACAATGTAAGCCTTGTTTGAAGCTTTGGTTTCCTTAACAAACCCAAAGGAAAGGCTCTTCTTCCAACATGCCTTGGCTTTGCTTGCTGCACTTGGCCTTTTGCAGGCTGGCACTTTCTTTGGCGCTTTTTTGCATGATGGCCTTTTTGCAGGCTCCAGATCTTGTTGTGACACTGCTGTGCTTGCAGCTGTACTTTCGATTTCCACCACCTCTTGGTCTGATGGTAGAATGGCAGCTGGGGATTCTAAAAAAGTGATAGGTGCTGGGCCTTGCTCAGGCTTCTCTTCTGCAGGCTGAAGGGCTTTCTTTTTTGGTGTCTTCTGGTTAAGCCTTCTCACTGGCCTTTCTGCAGGCTGTGGAGTGCCAAACAGACTTTGCATCAAACCCATCAATAGACCAGAGGTTTTTTCTCCAGTCTTGAGATTTTTCCATTTTCTTCTCAGAAAGTTTTTGCATTCATGAATTTGGTTCACGATCAACTTGCATTCTGATGTGGTCAATTTATGGTTAGCTTCTTTCATTGCTTGCCTTTCCACAGGCTTGCTCAAAGCCCCATGCTTGAACCACACACCCAAAAACAATGCATGCCTTGTGCAGGCTTCTTCAGGGTCAGCTGGCCACAGGTTTGCATTGCAAGAGTCAGGGAAGCCTTTTGCAAAGGCCACCAGCTTGCTGATATCTGCCTTTATTGCAGGCTGGGGGATGGGCAGCGTTGCTTCTCCTGACATCTATACCTAGCTTGCTTAAAGCCAAACAGCTGCAACATATCAAATATCTTGTTTCCAAGAAGCGCTTTTGTGGCTTCCCAGAAGCGCTTCTTGGAGGTGGTAACATGAGTTTGGGCAGAAGCCACATTTAGAAGTAGAATCTACTTTTCATGGCTGCCAGCCAGTTTTGAGAAGATAAGATTTGTGGCTGCCAGCCATGAATCCTAGCTGCCAGCCACAAATCTTATCTTCCAGCATTGGCTTCTAGGGGGCCAGAACCTTGGAAAGTGGCTGGCAGCCATGAAAAGTAGATTCTCGGATCCTTAGGGATAGGCTGTTGCGAAAGCTCAAAGTTGCGAAATTGATGCCCGTCTCGGTCAGGCAGATCTTCGCCCATGATGTACCACATCTCATTGAAGTCACCTTGAAGGCTATTCGTACTGAAATGAAGCAACTCAAACTTGCCGCAATCCGGCGATGGAGGTCAGCTATGAAGTTTGCCACCTCATCGCCCACAATTGGCAAGATTGTTTACCAGTACCTCAAGAAGAAGGGTCGTGTGGTCCCACCAAACTTGGTGGAAGATGACAATGGGAACATCATCTTATACTCATGAGATGCAGATCCTCAAACAAGTGTGGCCGTACATACATGACAAAGGCCGGTCGGTGGTCCTCCCTCCCATCACAGAGGATCAACTCTGGAGACAGGCTGCCAAACATCGGCCTGATGCGGCTGCGGGGCTTGATGCATGGCAAACACGTGAAGTGCAGGCTCTTCCACCAGCAGCGTTTAGACCTGATGCGATGCTCTTCAATGCTATTGAAGCTGGCACTCTGGAATTTCCTCAGATTCTGACGCAGGTCCGTATGGTTATTCACAACAAGGATGGCAGTGATGCTCCACTTTCCAAGCGCCTCATTTCTCTGCAATCCGTGTTCACCCTCTTGTACACGGGTCTACGCTTTGGCCAACTCCAGGAATGGCAGCAAGATATTATGCCTCCGCAACTGAAAGGGGGCATCAAAGGTAGGCTGATGTCTGAAGTGCATATGACCATGCAACTGGAGATTGATCGAGCGCACGCCTTCCAGGGCTCCTTCGCTGCCCTCAAGCTCGATAAGGCTAAGTGCTTTGATCGTTTGATGCCCAAGCTTTGCGCAGCCATTATGCTTGCCCTGGGCCTACCCAAGAATTTTGTGCGTGGGTTCCTGGCGCTGTATACAAGAATGACGAGATTCCTGTCCTTTAAACAATGGACGCGGAAGCAGGCCATATCTACACCGAATGGTGTTGTCCAGGGATGTTCCCTCAGCCTTCTCTGCATCAATATCCACATGGCTATTTGGGCCTGGATTGTTTGCAACATTGATGGAGTCGATTTCAGAGCTTTCATTGACGACACCTACTTGTGGACTCGGCTGCCCTCCATTGCCAATTTGGTTGCTGCAGTCCGAGCCACGGAGCTATGGGATTCCCTTTGTGGCCAGTTTCTAAACGCTGGGAAATGTGAAATTTTTGCCACTACGGCTGATCTGCGAAAGGCTTTGAAGACTGCCTTGCCACAGATGCAACTCGTTGAGGTGGTTAACATCCTTGGGGCACATGTTCAGACCACACGGAAAAATGTTGGAAGCTTTCCGCTTACAAAGCTGCAAGCTGCGCTGCGAGACTGTGAAGCGATTCGTGCACTCCCTTGTGATGCCTACAAGTGGGCACAGATTCTGACCACTAAGGTTCTGCCTCAGGTCGCGTTTGCACCGCAGCTTAACTTCCTCCCGAAGAGATTGCTAGCCAGATTGCAGTGCGCCATTGCGGATGCTATATGGCAAGACCGACCCAAGTGGCGATCAAACCACCTCCTACTCTGTGTCGTTCACAAAGCACATAAATTGGATCCCTTCTTGTTTCGTGCTGTCACGACAATCATTGAATCTGCGCGGTTCTTGCGAACCTCTCACTTTGCCAGACAGTCGTGGCGAGCGATTTATGAGCAGGACCAGTTCACTTCGCAATCATGGATGATGCAGTTTAGCCAAGCATGCCATGTGCTGGACATTGAGTGGTGCAGCCCGTTTGGATTCTCGCTCCTTCAAGCACCCGAAGTTAGTTTCCTGGAGTTCTCCTTGACTGATCTGAAGTGCATTTTGAAGAGTGTTGCTGCTCACAAGTGCTACTGTATTGCTAGCCTGATGCCAAGGAAAGACATTCACAAAGCTCAAGGGTTCCTGGACTTCAGCCTCACCCTCTCGGCTAAGAAGAAGATGTTGGCTGTTCCGAATGACAACTTCTCCTTCTCCTTTCACTGGGAGAGTGCAATCACCGGCTGTACCCTCACAGCAGACCGTCTCGCCGCCTCAGGGCTTATTGATTCTGCCCAGTGTAGATTCTGTGGAGCTGCCAAGGAATCCTTATTCCACTTTGTGGATGAGTGTACTGCGTTGCCAGAGGATCTCCGCCAACCGTCGACCTGTTTCTTTTTCGGGCCGAACTTTGATCAGCTCGGAATTGTTGAGACTCCGGTTGAAGACATTCGGGCAAAACTCCGAGTTTCCCAACCTTCTGAGCTGGCAGTGCATGCGTGGGGTGCACCCGTACCTAACGTACAACATGTTTGGACGGATGGGTCCGTTCAGCTAGCCAGTCATCCCTGGCTGACCGTGGCCTCCTTTGCGGTTGTTGGAGAGGATGAGCAGCTGTTGTCCGCTGGCTTAGTCCGTCATTGGAGGCTGCCGAACTATGGGCAATCCTCGCAGCGTTTGCAGGCGCTAAAGGGCCCTTGGTGATTCACACCGATTCTCAGACTGTGGTCAACCAGTTCAACGAGCTTCTCCGTTTAGGGGTGGTGCACATTGACTGGACCCATTCCAACTGGTGGGGATTTTTGCACAACCTTATCCATCAGAGAAGTGGCTTTTGTGAGTGTCCCCTTCAACTGACTTGGTGTCCTGCGCACCTTCTCGAGCACATCCCGGCAGAGAGTGTGACAGACGTTGAGGCAGCTGCTGTCAGCTCAAATGTCCGAGACATCACTCTGAACCGATTGGCCGATCGATTTGCCAAACAACAGATTCATGTGATGGCAGGCAAGATCAAAGCCGACATCCAGGTCAAGGAGGCTGACGTCTTCGCACGCCAATTGTGGCTTGCCAAACTCAATCGTGCTTGTCGGAAACCTGAACGCCCTGCTGAATCGGAGGCTGTCGTGACACAGGCACAGCCCCCTCGCATCCCCCTTCGACAACAATGTCCGCGATGGTCGTGGGATGTTTCTACTGACTTGTACACCTGGAAATTTCATAACGATGTGCAGATGCCCTTTTCCAACACCAAAGCCCTTTCTGAAGTGAACTTCCGCACCTTCCTGCATTTTAGCAACACATTGCAATGGCGGGTTGGTGATGGTCTGGCGTGTTCGGTTTTTGAGCTTGCCGTTCTGGCCTTCCATCAAGGCTCAAGGTTTGCCCTCCCAGCTGGAACTGTATGCACAGTACAGGCCTATGCGGCCATCATTCGTGCGGCCATTACTTACTGCAAAGGCAAACAGATTGCCGTTGCCCCTTCGCTCCTGCAGAAAGGGAACAAGTGCAATGGTAAGACGTTCCCTAAAGGTGCCTTGTTTGGCGCAGAAGCTTTCCTGGGCAATACGCCACTTGAGATGCTTGCTCGGGCCTTTGAAAAAGGGGCGAAGGCTACCCCTTTGTCATGGACCATTTCCTTTGACTCACTCTTGTGAGTTGATGTTGGCTTCTACAGATGGAACCCTGACCCTGGACGCGGAACGCTCCAGGGTCGCGGCAAACACCTCGTTCGGCATGAGAGCAAAAAAGGAAGCTCCCCCCGCCACCTTTTGGGGAGCTTCCTTGAAGATGCGCTTGCACTATTCATTTAGTTCCTAGATTTTTAGGGAAGCGTAACCATAGATCTCGTGTTGTCCGCCAAACAACGCAAAGTTTGGCTGGTCAAAGCATCACGGAAGCATCAAAGGTCCTGGATCATTTGCTTGCAAAGCTGCGTCTGTTGTCGCCTCGGAGGCAACAACTGCACAATGCTGCACCCATATCTCACTCACCTGTATCCGATATCCTGTATCCTGTATTCCAATAATGAAACGATGCGGCCATTATCAAACAAAGGATCCTATGATGGTTGCCTTGTATTTGCTCCCCGTGAGGGAAGGTGGGGAAAAGCTGCCTCAGTCGAGGAAAAGCCGCTCCACCCCACCACTACTCCGCCTCTCAGTGAACTCAGCTGCCGGCACCAATGCACTCTCAATCATCGTGTGGCGGACCTTTTGCCTTGGGGAATCAGATGATACCAAATGCAAGTAGTAACAATGTTCGCTACTAGGAACAAGTGCCTTACTAGTAGTAACAAGTGCCTTACTACTAGTAACAATGTTTGCTATTAGAAACAATTGTTTCTAATAGCTTCTTGTTACTACTAGTAAGGCACTTGTTCCTAGTAGTCTTACAGTACTCCTCCATGGAACATCAACGCATTTAGTGTATGCGGTCCCGACACACGCGCACCAAAGGGTAGAGTGTTGGATCACAGAATCACAGCTGAACGAAGAACATGCAAGAGAACCTAATGACACTGCGCGTTAACGCCCAAGCCAACCCAAGCTCTGAGCACAATGCCCTGTCTGGATTGTGTCATCTGTCGATGCCCATAGTTTGCCATGAAACTGGCAGCAGTGGATTGATCTTTCAATAAAATAGTGACTAGCCGAGCCTCCAGGCACCCTGAGACATACCTTAAAATGTTTGTGCTGAATATGATATTTAAACTCCACCCAAAGAACTCCGCCTCCCGCACTCTTGGTACTTTGCCCCTCTTGAACTTCATAGCATCCTGGTTTGCAAAGCAAAAGCACGCCTGATGATGGTCACTTGGGTTGCAAAGTAGTTCCGGCAGTCCAAATGCCAAGGCTTTGAGACCAAACTACGATGCACTTCTGATACATGTCATGGACCTGTAGGATTTGATGAACTAAACCGAATGAATCTATGTGATGCTTTGCATCTCTGATAGCACTATCACATGGACATATATCATATATGGCATTAGTGACAGTGATCTTCCCACTCCTGTGGGGGTGCATTTGCATCCTTCGGAGTGACCTGTCTGCACAGGCCGTGGACGTGGGCGCATGCGGCGCAATCGGCCCAAAATTTGCCAGTTGCTCAGATTTCAAACATGTGAGAAAGACACATAAATAAGAGTATCCGAGTATCATGTTTTCCATCTCAAAAGAAATGCTGGGGGAGTACAGATCAAAGCGGGTCCACACCTGGGGCTTGGCTCAAAAAGACATATACGCTCAGCGGGAGTCGAAAGTGGGGGGGGGCTTCCGAGAGTACATGGCAGAGCAAAAAGGGAGGGGTCGCTCCGAATATTCCCTTCATTGTGAAACCAATAGATTTTGACCATCGCCGAGGCCAAGACTGGTGCTCCGGACCTTGCTTTTTGCAGTGGCAGAAGTCAAGGATTGACAAAGAGGAAGCACAGCACTGCAAAAATGCACAAATGCTTTGGAACTCAGCTGTCACAGGTCACAATCAATCCTCACCCTGAATAGATTTAAATGTAGAACAAATAGAGCCTACGAAGCCCATGTATATACATCCATCTGCTCTCCGGGTCAGAAAAGGGAGAGAGCCTACAGAAAGAATTTCAACGCTGGGATTCTGTAGAGCTTTCCTCACCACCTTGCGTCCCGTAATTGTGCAGCGGTACCGGTCAAGCACGTCCTTCTCGCGTGCCTTGTGCGGTGTGATGTGAGGGTGAATCCCACCATCATCAGTTACGTTAGGCCCCCACTGGGAGCGAGCTGGCGGGAACCACTGGCCCACTTCTTAGTCATTCATAGCGTCCTTGCTACTAGTAGCGATGCCCGGTACGGGTACGGTGGCTAGCATGACTGCGACAAATCTCTCACCCACCAATGTGGGAGCATGGCATACGATGCTCTGTGCACAGGGATGCACCATGCCATATAAATGTCACACCCAGCTGGCAAAGCTATATTGTATGGAATTGTATGGAATATGTCCTGCATTGGGATGATTTCAGGGTTCAATGATTCAATGGATGTTCAATGTAGGTATGTGTTCCATGCATGGCGGGCTTGGGGTATGATGGCATTCATAATCGTGATACTCTTGGATCCAAGACATCCAAGACATCCAAGACATCCAAGACCTGGATCTTCTCCAAGATCATCGAGAGGATCCACAATGGGTGATTTTTTCCATGGATCCACCATTACTGAAGCACCTGCACTCGGTCGACCGCCGAGTTCCCGAGCCACCGCGGTCTGGATCTGGGCATTGGCGGCCGAGACCTCAAGTTTGGATGCTCAAGAATGATACAAGTAAGAGCGATGGCCTCCAACATAAAGGAATGACTCTTGGTTACAATGTGTGGCCTCAAGATGATAAAGGATGATAAAGGAAGTATCTCACGGATGGTCTCAAATGAGGCTCTGGGGATGTGTGGCACGGATGATGCAAGAGATGAGTGATGAGTGCGCACGGATGCTAGTTGATGGATGTGTCAAAAGTATTCAAAAGTAGGGAACCCTGACCCTTAGCAACAGAGTTTCTTGACAAGCATCTTCCAATCATGTCAAATCGCATGCTAAGATCGTCAAAGACACCCTCCAAAGTTGATCCGTTTATATAATCATAATCACAAGAAAGCGAGGACTTCAGAATTCTGAAGAGGACTCGAGGAACAAATCTGTGGGGGACTCACATCGCGCACCGGCCTCCTTTAAGGCTCTTGTCAACTCCACATCCTGTGCACCCTGGCTGTACTCTGCTCACTTACTTTACTTGCACAAAAGGACAAAATCTCAGAATTCAGCATAGGTGAAAGCTGTGATTGTCTAAAAGAAAAACTGGCCTGTGACCCAGATTCTACTATGATACTATGTTTCAGTTTAGTTGAAAGAGCATCTCTTCTTTGGTCTGAACATGTCTGAACACTTTGCTTCGAGTATCTGATATGAACACTTGGCTTGAGTATTTGCGTGCTTCTGATAAGATTGATAAGACAAGGCCAGCAGGACATCCGGGACTTTTTGCGATCTCAGCATGGATCTCATCTCCACCATCTGGCTGCTCAGCTCCTGCCAATCGGTTCTCTTTCCCATCCACGGCTTGAAAAACTCATGACATTATAGTGAGAGAACATCCTGAATCATCCTGATCTGTTCCCTTTGACGTGCAAGTTCAGTTGCCGCATCTCAAATAACACCAACCATGACTCTGATGCTCCTGCAGTTGGTCCTCCAGGTGCTTCTGGGATCTTTGTCCCACAGCCTGCTTTGACCCAGGAATTTCTATTTCATCTGCTGAGCCTCTGTGGCATCCTTAAAGGAATCAATTTAAGGACAAAGTTGTCCATGCAAATCTGCTTGGTCCCCGGGTCCCCGTCCATTGTGGCCTGAAAACGCCTAGCCATAGGCTTTGGGAAAAAACTACACCCTTCAAAAGGGCAAGTCTTGAAGCTAGATGAAGCCCATAGCTTGCAGACCTCTTCCGTCAAGTACTCATCTTTGAGATCATATCGGCACCTCGTGTGCAAAACCATCGGTGAGCTGCTCTACCTGCCACTCAGAAAGAACAAATGGACGATGTGTGAAACGGTGAGCAAAATGCGAGAAGTCAAACATGTCAGAATTCAGAAGTTCACAAAGTTCAATGATGAGCTTCTTATGGAATTAATCTGATATTACGAATTTACATTGTTTCAGGATATTTTATAAACACAATACACACCATGATTTGAGCGCCCATCTGTCGCATGCATTTCTGGTCCTTTGCAGGGAAGAGTACAAAGCCGTGTCCCGTGACTCCGTTGTTACTGTGGCATGAAACTTGAGGCTGGCCGCCTTGACTCGCTCACCTTCCATCAGGGCCTTCCATGAGCCATCTTGCAGTCTTTCGAATTGATCAAACAAAGCTTGACGTATGTGAAAAAACCATCTGAACAGTCCGCGGTGGTTCATTCATGTCCAAGTTTCAAGGAGACACGATGGTTCACCCAACAAGTCTCTTTCAGAAACCGGTCTTGGTTGTGTTCATGTTCTTTCGATGTCTTAGTCCTATCTGTTCCTTTTTTCTTTAGCCCCCTCTTGCTTAATTATATAAGTAGGCCCCTACCTTTTTTCCAGCAAGGGGCGGAGCTTCCTTGACGAAGCGCTCTCACTAATGATTTGGTTCCTAGATTTTTGGCTGGAGGCCAGAAGCAGTACACTTCACTGCAGGGCATTCTGTTGTTGGCCAGCAAATAATATTCAGAACTTCAAAGCCATACAGCAAGTGAAACAATTATGCAGAAGCCTCTGTTTGAAAGAACGGGAAAATGCCAAAGGTCATTTCCCGGGCTTGTGCTGTTGGAATCAAGATATCATAGGCAAAGCAAGCTATCAACCAAAAATGTGTCTTCCCCTTGCGCTGCCAAGCACCACCTGTGGGTTTTTTGGCCCAAACCGTTTCGCATCGACCGCTGATCGCATCGCCAAAATCACCAACCTTCAGTGCAGCTGCCCGGTTTGACAGCTTTACCTCGGCCTGCCAACGTCAAAGCCATGGAATCTGAGAGCCGTTAACCAGGCTATGGCTGTGGCAGCGTGGATTGAAAGTCAAACGCATAGGTATGCTCAAAACCACCTCCCAAATCCAAGATTGGCCTTGGTCAATTGGTCCACTCCGCCCTGTATGTATCTATGCAGCTTAAAACAAACGACAGTCCTCCAACCTCCCATCCGACATAACCACACATATCTTCAGACCAACCACCTCTAACCCGCCTCCTGTGCCGATCTGATCTGCTGCTGCAAAACCTCATTGACAGGCAAACGGGTGAAGTGTCAATAGCTTTCCACCCAAGCCAGCAAAGCCTATATGAAGCATATCAAATTCTTTTCATCATCTTATCCTTCGGAGCAGAGAAAACTCCTTACCTACCCACTCTAGCTGTTCCTTCAAATGAAGGACACATTCGACTCCCAGGGCAAATTCGCCATTGCCCCGCACGCCTTGTCCGCTTGGGCCGCTTCCTCGGCTGTGAGCTTTTGCCTTTGGAGCAGCTCTTGGCCTGGGGCGCCGACCGGCCACATGGCCACACTCCCATGGGAGACCCAGTCGGAAGGGTATTGGTCAAAAATCGATGGACACACACCAAAGAGCCTCCAATAGTGTATGCGTGCTTACGTAATGTCACAGGGGTCGGGCAATCAGTTTGTACTGAGTGTTGTGGGTATGTAAGGGATCGCAAGGGTACATAATATGGTTTCTGGACTGACTTGATCAAGATCATCTTGCCACTGTCTACACTTAAGCACAATGTGGACACTTTTAGAGCTGTTGAATCTACATAGATCTTGAACTGGGGCAGTCGCTGCACAGAGTCAGACCCAACATTTTTTGCATTCAAAAGGGGTCCCTTTAGGACAATGACAATGGTCTTGTCTACTACAGCAAGGCAAAACAAAAGATCAAATCTAGGGTTCCTGGCGATCTATATTTGCAGCTTCAAGCTGCAGCCGCTCCTGGTTGAATTTGGCCTCGTGCAAAAAATAGATGTTGCCAAATCAAATCCATGTGCGACTGCAATCAGCAAGCCATGGCCTCTAGCTCGTTGGCGGCAAGATTGGCCTTCAGAGCTTTGTTGCTGAGACGGCTACACAGTTGGTTGTGTATAGTGTATGCCGAATGCAGCTGCAAAAGAAATGCGCCGTGGTTTCCAAGTCTAGGAAAATGTCTGCAAAACACAAGTTTACTATCAGCACAATAAGCCAGGGAAGGTTGCTCAAGGATGCCAGCCTTGGCAAGCTGCTCTTGCAATTTCTGTGTGCCCTTCTCAAGGCTTTCCTGTGAGGTAAAGTCCAGTCCAGGCGAAGGCAAGTCCAGCCGTATCTACAAAACACCTCCTCAACTCCGTAATCCTCTTGGGTTTGACAAAACGTACGTACACGTACAAGCGATCTTAAGCGATATTCGGTACCCCTGCACTTGTCTTGACGGCTTCCTAGAGCTACCATTGTTACCATCTCCAACGATACTTTCCGAGGATTCCCGGATGCCCCACACTCTCTTGGATACCACAATCCCCGTCGGATCCCAGACGTGTTGCGCAGTGGATCCCGCTTTTGAATCCCGGCCCGTTGAAAGCTCCTTGTCTTTCATGAGGCGGTCAACAAACGTCCTGTCCGCCTGAAATTGTGTGATGGCATTTTGAATCTTAAGGCCACAAAGATCCAGAAGAGGAAACAATCTCACCTTAAGCCTTCATCCAATTCTGCTTAAACGTGAGAAGTGTTTGAGCCCCTGCTCCTGGCAAGAACTTTGAGCCTGAGCCAAGCTAGGCGCAACATCCACTTCTTCACCCTCCCCTTCGGGCCTGTTGTTGGGATGGTGATCGAATGTCCTGCCAGCAAATTTAACTGCCATCTGCCCGAGTTTCCTGATTTGTTCCACACTGCTGCTGTTACCTCCAAGTGTTCTTGCTCACAGTGTGTTGGCCAGATGTTCCGGCTTGCAATATGATTTTTGGATCATGGTTTGGTATGAATGTAACCCTGACTGTACAATTCTGGGGCTGTCAGCAAGTGCGTTTGTTTTTCGCCCCACCTCTTGCGCTTGCAGTTGCATGTACCTGGCCTCAAAGTCGTTCGCCTCACAGGGTCGTTCGTTCCACCAATCAGCCTTTCCACTTAGGATCACAATCTCATGGGCGAAAGAAACACACTTATGTCAAAGATTCAAAAACATCCACCTGCAATAAATGTAATTAGTGGACATTCCTTTGTCGATTGAAACACTTGCGTGAACAATCTGATAAACCGGGACAAAACCAAGCTGGGTTGCCATATCTTGGATGGTCGCTAATGGTCGCTCATGATTGCTTCCCAACTCAGGTTTGACACCAGAAAGCCGCTCGTCTGCACGGTGCCCCTGGGACTCTCACGCGACGCGTCTGCTCTTGAATCTTTGCCTCCAACCGGCTCGTTGTGTTGGACCGACAACACACATGGCCAATATTTTTGTGTCTGTGTGTGTGCTCACCTCCGTCTCCATGAGTTTTCCTTGAATTTTAAATTAAAGCAGGGGCGTACAGTTTATCATACCTACCGTACGCAATGAAGCTATGGTATGACGAGGGACGGGTGGACTGATCCACCTGTTGTACCTGCTTTTACTCGATTGCGCGATTCCCATGTCTCACCACAAACATGAGGCAGGGTTCGTCGGCAGACTTGTCTGTCGGTCCCCTTTCTTTTTGGAGCGATTCGTCAGTCTCGCTCCGTAGAACAGGAGGCTCTTTTTCCTTTTCTATCTAAAACAGGAGGCCTTTTCCTTTTTATCTTACCTACTTAGGGCGATTCACTTGTCTCGCTCAATTGTGGAACAAACCCTACCTCTACCTACTGGAGATGGAACGTAAACTGGTAGAGCTGGCCTCCAACCTGGTGCCATGGCCCCCAATGTACTAGCGATGACCTCCAACCATGCCGTTTTCAGCGAGTCAAGTGCTAAGTATTCACTGGAGCTGCCGGATTTTTGCTTCAATGAATGTTACTGTTGTTTAAACAATTCTGTTCAGCTGACGATTCACCGTGCCGTTATGTGCCGTTCCCAACGGGTCAAGTGCTAAGTATTCACTGGAGACCATTCAACCTAATGTTCCTTCATTGGAACTATGAATCTATACAAGTGTGACCAGCTGCATCTTCCCACTTGGGTGCGCAGTGTGATCCCCGCAAGGGGCGCAGCTTTCAATTCTGAATCCTTTCCGAATAGCATGCATGCATCGGAAGCCATTTGCTGAAGCTTTGCATTCTATCAGGAACGCTTGAAATTCTACTGACGAGCCCACGTCGATTCACCACTGAATGAACCGTATCAGTCAAGGGCTAAGTATTCACTGGATTTGCGTTCTTTCTTTCTCTCTTTTCTTTGTTTCCTCTTTCTAGGCTTTCGTTCATTGCAAAAGGCCTTTGAAGTGTTTTTGAGTCTGAGGTTTTTTGAGTCGTGGGTATGTTCTAGAACCTAAGTAATGCCCAAGCTGTCTACTGCAGGCTAGGTGTAGGTGAGGATTTTTGAGCCGCGGGTAATTCCTAGAACCTAAGTAATGTCAAAGCTGTCTACTGCGTTGTTCCCGAGTGCATTAGGAGCTTTTCTAGAACCTACGTAGTACCAACGCTGTCTCCTGCGTTGTTTTCTTCTTTAAAGCGAGAGTGCGCCGCCATGCGGGAACTTGTGTGTGTTCACCTCCGTCTCCAGGAGTTCTCCTTGAGTTTCAAACTCATAGCAGGGGCGTACGGCTCGTCATACGCAAACTGATCATCCACCTGTACCTGCTTCCTCTATTGGGCGACTCTCATGTCTCGCCCGCAAACAGGAGGCAGGGTTCGTCGGCAGACTTGTCTGTCCGTTCCCTTTCTTTTTGGAGCGATTCGTCAGTCTCGCTCCCTAGAACAGGAGGCTCTTTTTCCTTTTCCTATCTAAAACAGGAGGCCTTTTCCTTTTTATCTTACCTACTTAGGGCGATTCACTTGTCTCGCTCAATTGTGGAACAAACCCTACCTCTACCTACTGGAGATGGAACGTAAACTGGTAGAGCTGGCCTCCAACCTGGTGCCATGGCCCCCAATGTACTAGCGATGACCTCCAACCATGCCGTTTTCAGCGAGTCAAGTGCTAAGTATTCACTGGAGCTGCCGGATTTTTGCTTCAATGAATGTTACTGTTGTTTAAACAATTCTGTTCAGCTGACGATTCACCGTGCCGTTATGTGCCGTTCCCAACGGGTCAAGTGCTAAGTATTCACTGGAGACCACTCAACCTAATGTTCCTTCATTGGAACTATGACTCTAAGTGTTATTATTGGAGCAATGTTAAGTGCTCCTGTGGCAAACCAGAACATCCAAAACAGAAGATTGTACTTGCAATGAAATAATATGAAGTAGTTGTTCAGCCCCAACTGAGCAATGTATGTACCCCACATGTAACAAGTGTGCATCCCATCTCAGGAAATACCAGGAGTACCCTGTCACCGGACCACCACTCAACGTCCCACACAAATTGGCCTCCAGGTCATCTCGGAGGCTGCGCTTCTCTTGGTTTGCAGAGATCATTTCTTGAATTATGGCCTGCCACACGTGTGGTGAGAAGGGTGAAAGGACGAATCATGTGTTGGGTCTCACATCTGAATGCCTGCACTTAGTCAGCCATGTTGACTTTCCTTTAAGGGCCAAATGTTACTTCTATGACTTCTAATTAGGTGTGCAAGCAAGCCTGCAAACTCAAGACCTCATTATCACATTCTGGTTTCAGCATGTGTCAGTGCCGAATTGGAGCCTTAACTTTTCAACCTCTAAGGTATTGGAGGAACAATTCCTCAAAATGCCTCTTGCACGTCCCTAGCAGCGACGCACTTCTTTGCTTCTTGGTCTGCCTTAGCCAGTACGACCATGGTGACGCTGATTTGGGGAAGTTTTGGAATCCTTGTAAACACGCCACGCCTTTCCAAGATCTATACAATCATGGAGAAACGGAGAAACCAGTGAGTGGCCTAGGACATGCGCTCTTCCTGTCAAAAGCTTGCGGTGAGGCCATGCCTAACACACAACCAAGCACACCCGCCTCAAACACTCATAAGCCTACAGCAGTCCGCCTGCAAATTCGTGAGAAGACCTACCTGGACCTGAACATGCACAGCACCTCCTGGTCCCAACCAGGGCGGAGTTGAAGCATCAACACTCGGATAACCATGACAGTGACATGTCAACATGTTTTTAAACCTGTTATTCGATCGATCTAAGAGGGAACCAGTTGACATGTCAGTTCCCGACCGTCTCCCGCCTACACCAGTCTCCCCACCACACGGCCCTCCGCATCCGAAAGCACGAGTCTGGGTGCACCAACGCGGGCCTTCTCTTGATACAGCTCTGCCTGTCGGGGCATCGGTGCCTTTTTGGGAAACCGCTGGTGTCTACAGGTGCTTGGGCAGACTGCATGGCCAACCAGGCTGCACCTGGACGTTTTCCAGCTTCGCATGCAAGCTTCTTTCTGCCTCGAAGTGATCAGACATCCACTTGCTCAACCAAACGGTTGACAGCGGAGAGTAACTTCTTTTGCTCATCGCCCACGCTGTCTGATGTCTGGGACGGTTGGTTGTCCATGTCATTTTCCGGCCATCGTGGTTGAGTGATGACATTGCGAAACATGTTCAAACGTTGGTCCTCAAAGCATTGCATGATCTTGGCGTTGATACCTGAGGAACCTCGCCAAAGTACTTCTTCGGTGCATATGAGTGGACCCCTCCCAAGGTCTGGGGTGCCCGCTTCTTCTGCGCGGCTGGCTGCCTTGGAAGAACAGGATATTATATATATATATATATTTATAGAGAGCGGGTGGTCATGGGGCCTGGGTTTTGGTTTTCCCTAAAATTTTAGGTACATGCTTTAGTGGCAGCCCCTCTCCATATAAACACACATATCTATTCTTGCTCTCACTCTATATGAACAAATATATTATGGTTTGGAAGCAGCAATCAGTCATTCAGATGGTTTGGAACAAGATAATTAGAAAAGACGCATGCCATAAAAGTGGTTATTTTAACCATTGTCCTCTAGATCTCTGCTTATAATTATGTTTAGATTTGGAAAGATTGTGTATAGACTCTTTTATGTTATAAAAGATTCTTTATAGATCTCTGCAGATAATCATGTTTAGATTTAAACAACCATATAGAAACCTTGTATGTTAAAAGCTTTCTTCTAGATTTCTGCGGGCAAGAGCTTGCATTTTCAAAGCTTTCCTCAGGATCTCTGGGAAAGTAGATATCCCTATATATGTTTTCATGAAAGGAAAGCTCTTGAAAGAAAGACTTATTTATTGATATATAGTATGTTTCAATTGACATGACCATTTCCAGAGATCCAGAGGAAAGCTTTTGAAAGGAAAGCTTATATATAGTTTTATTGTAGAATTGATCATCCCCAGAGATCTAGAGGGAAGCTCTTGAATTAGAAGCTTGTACATAAAACATGTTTAATATGTATATATTATCTCCAGTGATTACTGACAATAAATAAGTCTAACTATTTACTTCAAAAAAGAGTTTTAGTCTTGTTCCCAGCACTTCCAGAGCAAAAAATACTGTAAAACACGGGGTTTTGTAGCATGTGTTTTCTTAAACTAAATAGACTAGAGCTAGAATAGAATTAGGTAGAATTAAATTGGATTTGAGTTAGAGCTAAGATAAAACTGAAGTAAAACCGCATTTTAATAAACTTGTATTGAACTATAACTATAGCCTAATTGAAATTAGATGAGATTTGAATTAGAAAGGAATTAGAATTAAAATTAGAAGTTCGCCAGAATAAGATGTAAACGCTTGAGCTATAAGCACAGAATTACGCTCGCAAAGATTTCCAACCGTTTCATGTAAAGGACAGAGTGTCCTCGCAACTGCATGTCAAGCTGTTTGGAAATGCAAGTGGCAACCGCATTGATACCAGTCAGCAGTTAATGCACTCAGACTTGTATATGGAGATTTGGACAAGGACGAAGGAAGTGTTGAGCTCAGACGGTTTCAGACGTAAGCAAAAAGAACAGATGCCTTGAGGTGAGAAGTAAGTTCAGATGCTAAACCAAAAAACCTTGAGAAAACACAAAAAACACAAAAACAATTCTGAGAGACTCTTGCTTGGACCCCCCAAAATCAGAAGAATCAGAAAACCAAAAAACCTTGGGGAAACCAAAAAAAACAAAAAAAACAATTCTGGGGAAGTCTTGAGGAAAAGGGGGTCCAGCCAAGAGTCTCTGAGAATTGTTTTTTTTGGTTTTTTTGGTTTTCCCAAGGTTTTTTTGGTTTTTTGGTTTTTCTGATTTTGGGGGGTCCAGCCAAGAGTCTCTGAGAATTGTTTTTTGTTTTTTTTTGGTTTTCCCAAGGTTTTTTTCTTTTTTTGTTTTTTCTGATTTTGGGGGGTCCAGCCAAGAGTCTCCCAGAATTGTGTTTTTAGTTTGTTTGTTTTCCCATGGTTTTTGGTTCTTTTTGTTTTTTTTCTTATGTGTTTTTTTATCCTTTATGCATATTTATCAGTGTTTTTTGGTTTTGATTGTGGCACTGATGCATTTACCTAATATTTATGAACATTTATGGAAAACCAAAACCCAGGCCCCATGGCCACCCCTTCTGTATTTATAATTATATACATATATATAGAAGATTCATGTTCCATCGATTTTCCATGTCAATGGATTAGATGATTGAGACCAGACTGGTGGTGCGCTTGACGCGTGGATACGTGCCTTGACCAGACTAAGCACGCGGCGGCTTGGAGCTTCCTTAGGACTGCAAATTAGGCATTCTATGTGAGAAGTCAATCAAGTCCTCATGTCCTGCTTGTATAATTGCATAACTCATAACACATGTTCCTCTTGGACTCAGCCTACCAGGCCTAGCAGTGCATGCGCATCAGAAAGTCATGAACTGAATCGTTTGGTGACCAGGAGCCAACCAACATGAGCTGTGCCGTTTCTCATGTGCCTGTGTGGAGTGTGTACCTAATCACCTCATGCCAAGGCACACCGCCCGAAAGCCATCATACGCAAGAGCACCCCCAAGTCTGAACCCAGAGAAGCTCATGGTTGTTTTGTACCTGATGTGCTACCTTGCAAACAGTCTCTCACACCAAGTGGGGCTTATCCACGCTACGCTATTATAGATCGTTTGATTCTTTTCACCAGCAGCAGTCGTTAAGCTCTGTTTACCTACCCTGCAACAAACTAGCAACTAGTCCCTTTGCTTTCATCGTCCAAGCGGCTTCATCTCTTCCCGAAGCTCCCTGCTCACGACAGCCTCAGGATGATGATGAAGCTAGCCAGCTAGGACCAGCTGGGATGGGAAGTCCGGGGAGTACGCATCTTCAACATTTGACAGTGTCGATTCCAATGTTGATCCAACTGATCCAGAACCAGACAATACAAAGGCCTCGGAAGATTGCTCTCTATCAAAACCAGATTCTCTCTACGGTAGAGACCATCAAGAATCTCCTAAACGCACAGCTGCGCCGACGCCCATTTGACTTCTTGTGCTGCTTGCTGCATCCGGCTGCCTGGCGAGCACAATTGCCCAGGGGGATGTGCACGCCCCCAGTGGCTAGTGACTAGTGATGGTGGTGGTGATGGCCGAACTTCCCTTCGTCTTTGAACAGGAGAAAGCAAACAATAACATCAATAACAGAGGTGCAACTTGATCAAGTGATGATCCTGTCTAGGACCTGTGTCGTGGTTCCCCACCAGTGAATGCTTCCAAAATATCTTGTGACCTGCGGTGTTCCCAGCATCTCAAAACACTCTCTGCAGCCTTTGCAGAACACGTCTTGCAAGGCTTCTTGAGATCCTTGGAGTGACACGTCTAAAGGTGATCGCTTCAGAAGTGATGGGCCAAAGGCGGCCACAAGGTTGGACCAGATCTTTCGAGCCACATCAACGTGACCAATTTGGCAAGAGCCAGATCAACCAGCCACTGGGAACTTGACTTCCTTGCAATATTCCACCGGAACTGGAGAACCTCCTCCATACTCCTATCGGACCTATCGGAACGTGCGTGGGGACACGTATTGGTACGAGGACCGGTTGCAAATACAATGACTCCATGACTTTTTGGCCAGGCTGTGGGTCTGGATGGGAAAGAGCCTAAATATATCTAGATCCGATTTCGAGGCACCGAACTTGTAAAGATTCACTTTGAAATGATGTTGAATCTGTTTACATCCTTTTACTCAGATCCCCTCAAAGTCACTTTGAGTCAAATTCAGGCTGACAAACCAGGCAAATCCATTTGGGGCAAGCAACTGAGAAGCTGTCTTTGAGCTTCATGGCAGGCCGCAGCAGTTCGTTCAGGACCAGGATCTCTGAAAGAGCGCGCCAAGTTCCTCTGAAACACCAGCTAAGCCAAGCAGATCTGCTAGAAACACATTTTACGTTGCAATTGATCATAGCTGATCCTGGGGGATTGTCTCCTACTGGGTCACCTCAGGCTTTACTCTTTCTTTAACCCGCCCTCACTTCAGTAATTAAGTATATATATGTATAGGCACCTACTTAATTATACAAGGAAGTAAGCAACTAAGCTACTTAAGCTACTACAAATGGACGCAGGATAGGTCACGCTTCTTCAAGGAAGCTACCCCCGCCTGAGGGTGCGGGGGAGCTTCCTTGAAGAAGCACTCGCACTAATGATTGGTTCCTAGATGCTTATCGAAACTTAACTTCTGACATCCACATGGCATTGTAGCAAGGCAGGTCCTGTTCGGCACACTGGGATGCTCAAGGAGCAACCTGCAAAGGCATTGCTGTTGGGATTCTAGTCTCACATCGACCAAACAACCTTTGTCTCTCTTGCATGAATCTGCAACGTTACTTCTACCTACCCCAAAGACCTGGGTGCCCTCTGACTGTTCCCTTTGCCAAGATCTAGCAGTATTCAGGGCAATGTGTTCGTTGATAGTAGGATGCTGCGATATAAATATCCTGTATTATGCAGACATATACCTCGAATGATCTATTTTCCAGACACCGCTGGCAGGTATAACGTCACAGGTTCGGACTACTTGTAGAGAAACACTTTCTGAGATTTTAAGTTGTCTTGCAGGACGTACAAACTTCACGTTATCGGTGAAACCCAAGCGCCCAGCTCAGCTCACTTGAAATTGACAAGAGTACAACTTTGGTGAAGGCATTTCATGAAAGTAAGCTGGTGGTGGAATATTTCGCGATATTGGTCGACTGACAGAACAATTGCTCACTGCCCAGCTTCGCTCTTCGTGCACATGCGTACCGCAACAAAACCAATGCTCGTCCAAATTCTGCAGTTGAGGCACGTTGCTGACTTGTTCTCGAGGGGGACAGGTCCAAACCCGTCACACCTGTCTTTGCTGCTCAGGCGTCCACCCGGACAGAGCAAACACAAAATATATTCAGGTTTGGAGGCTTGAGACGAACCTGCTGCAAATTTAGTTGCAGCCTATCCATGCATGTTCATGCATGTTCAACATGCAACGTGCTCCAAAACATTGGCAGTTTCTTGGCCCGTTGGTCTTTCTTGAGCTGCTTCATCAGCGAGATAAGTCGTTTGCTGGATAAGTTCCATCCAACGCGTTCAAAACACAAACTCGAAGGTCTCCCACCACCCAGCCTTCGCAATGAGATCCGACATCTCGTTTGGCAGCAGCTTGTTACAAAGCCCATCAGCCTCCGAAGTCGGAGAAACTCTGGATGACTTGCCATCTGTTGGATGAGGCAACTTCGATCTGTTGGATGAGGGAACTGGCCACACATGGAAATATGAATTCATCTTCTATCTTAGCATACACTCTCCCTCAAAGAACTGACAGGCCGTCAGCCTGTACAAGGTCCCAATGTCCAGGCACACTGGCAGCAGGTCATCCAAATCCTGCAAACGACAAATAGTCTGAAGGTGTACTTTCGCATTGGGGGATGTTTGTGAGATAGGCCTAGTTCTTTGGAATGGGATACAGTACAGCAAGATAGTAAGGGATGCTGGGGATGGACAATTGTTAGCCACCACACCTCACAAATGCAGCTTACGAAAAATATATTGGGCATGAGCACCTTGCTCTCGACTCGACGCTCATGGATCCATGCTAACAAACAACAGCAAGTTCAGGAAAGCGCTGTGAATTGGAAGACATCCGTGTGCAGAAGTTCGCAAATTTCCCAGGTAGTAGCAACCCCAGCACCAGCTGACTGAAGGAAACGAGCACCAAGAGCACCCCATCAGGGCGGTCAACATACAACAACGTGCAGGTCAAGTGAAGATATCTGCGTCTCTGAACATGGGATCGAGGAGGAGGACTCCCGAAATGGATTATATCAAAATCATCAAAATCAAAAACATCAGGAATACAACTAAAACTGAATTATTATATACGTGAACCATACGCATCACGAGCTGGCCAACATCTAAGAACCCCAATGAAGCCATTAATCATCAATCTCAACAAAAGAGATTCTCACACACAAATACCAACGACATGTTCTATTGCATGTTTAAATATACATATATATATATACAAATCAATGTGTTATTTGTTGTCCACTACTTAGTTAGGCAAACATCGAGAGGAAATTATATATATATACCAAATGTAGAAGCAGCACCACGGGAGTCAATATATATATATAGCATTATATAGCCCATCAAGTAACAAAACCATTAACTGCAGTCAGAAAGGAGAATGGCGTGGTCCACGTCAAACCTAATCGATGTACTGACAATGTGTTGGTGTCGATGATGTATAACGTGATGTGCAATGTGTGATGATGTGTGTCAAGGGGAGAGGTAACGTTGATGGATAATGTGATAGTGTAGGTCTACACATCACGACGATTCGCAAATCCCAGGGTGAGCTGGACAGCCTTGCATACGTCATGCGATGCATGCAAGTAGCCCAGCCAGGACCAACATGGCTGCATACTTTTAACATAGCTTATCGTCCCTCCTTTCCTTTCTCGTCCTCGTCCTGATCGATGCCAGGCAAGCATCCTTCAACTTGGAGGAAGCTAATGCACAAAAAGACCCAGCCGACCTCATCTCCGCAACCGGCTGTCAAAGGATCCGTAGCGCAACGGAGGAAAGCGGGATCAATGCAGCTCGGGCACCGAGTTGAGAAATCCGGCGTACGCGTCGACAAGACCTTTCGATTTTGCGAAGGCCTGCGCAGCGACAGTGCAAACATGGTCTTGGCTTGTAGTCGGCGGTCTATCAGTCAAAATCAAATGAATTTGATCCGTGGCTCTCTGAAACCACGAAAGGTGGAAGGATCCTCAGAAAGAGACATGTGTGTGTATTCAGTTGGACGTCCCTCCAACAAAGAAAAATGCCTGGGCAATCCATCAAAGAAGAAAAGCGGGATGAACATGTATGGGGCATCCACTATGTATTGGCTGTCCTCACGAGTCCATCCATCAATATCCATCACCTGGGCGAACGCATTGTTCCGAGTTGGGCCTTGACCAAGCAGACCAAAGAGCGCGCGTTAGGCCCTGTTGAAGCCAACATCTTGGAGACAGCATGATCAACTGCCTTATCTGGAAGGTTCAAATGTTGGCCACAGTGCCAATCTGTTGCATGTTTTGCATTCTAACTCCCATGTGTTGCCAAAAGGAAGCACGAAACCGACCGAAAGCTTATCGAAAGCTTGTCCAAGCTGCTAAGCACTCATCTGCGTCACCCATGGTGATATCCACCTGAAGATGATCACGAAAGCGCAAGCGCAGGACTGGGACCTGTGCCTTGGTGATACATCAGTGGTTGCTTCTCACGCAAGAATGAGCCTTGTCTGAGCACGTCTGGCTTGGGTTGCTTCAAAGATCTTCAACTGTTGCGGTCGAAGTTTGAAAAATGCCAAGCGGCCGTTGCAATCCTCAGATCAGACTGGCAGCCACTGTCATTTCCCGCTGACACCCAAGCTGGAAGTTATGGAAGCCAATAGCCAGTGTCTGACCATTCAACAGAATCCAACGGCGCTTAGTCAAAGCACAGAAACGATGCACGCCGCTGGCAGGACCATTCTCTCCAAGCTTCATGCACTCCATTCGGAAGTGCTCCGAGGGGAAGGCGGCTACCGCATTGAGGTATTTCAGCTGGCTTTCCTGCATTGTTTTGTACTTGTGACCCCTCATAGAAATGGACACTAAATACAAAGCTACAATTACAAAGCTGATCACACTTTCTAACTCAGTGGTCCTTTGCTGTGTATATGTATTATAAAATATTAAAAACCAGTGTCTTGGATGTCCAACTGAACATCCAGCCTTCTGCCTCACGTCGAA